CTTACAGCTGAATGTATAATCAAATTTGCTATTATTATTATTATCTTAAAACATTCATGGCTCATTTGGAAAGAAATTCAGCTTAAAAGGGGTCAAAATGAAACTGGATGGAAGGGAGTGCCTGAATTGTGTTCCATAATATGGAGCTTCTAGCTGTTAAAGTCAACATGAAATCAGAATTGTCAATATTTTTTAAAATAATAGTATAGGCATCTAATTCTTTAAAAAAAAAAAAATTTATTTCCTCTGAACTGATTTATCCTGATGTCTATTTTGACATTGTTTTAGGTTACTGTTGTAGATAAAGAAACTTGAATAAGATTACATCAACAATATCAAATAAATCTGAAAAAAAAAACTATATATATATTTATATATATATATATCATTGGGAATCGAGATGCTTTCGAGGCTAAACTTGACCTTTGACCTCCAAGTTTTAGTCAAAAAGCAGACAGAAACCCCATTTTTGTATATCAGTGTTTCCCCTGCCATTATAATAGGGGGGCGAGAGTCACTTCATGAGCATTTGACCGTTTCATTTGAGTAAAACAATCCTCATATCACACAGAAATGTAAAGGTATTCACGGCAACCCATCAAAATAAAAGATCGGTTTAACTTGAAGACATTGCGGCAGAAATATATTACTGTTGTTCAGTAGAATGTATGTAATAGGCTACTACTACTACTACTACAATTATTAAAACCTTATTTTTAAGGAATAATCATTCAATGTTTAATTGTAATATTAAATCCCCTTTATTTTCCAAAAAATAAAATGTGTTTAATTTTCATTAATTAAAAGATAAATTAAATGAATGTTTTATGCCTTTAAAAAATGTAAATACACAACACAGAATTTGGTAACAATAAAACATAAGGCTAGAAAAAATAAAACATTTCATAGGGCCCTAAACATGCAATTTGTGTTAAACGTTTAATAAATTGACGTTAAATTGTTTAAGTTTCATGATTTCAATTAATTAGACATGCTTTTTGATTAATAAAATGTAATTTAACCATTAAAAAGAAGTCCAGAAAAATTAAAACGGACCCCCCCCAGATCTAGATTGCTAGCATTTTGTCAAGACCATGATGATAATGATAATAATGGCAGTAGGACTGAAAATGTTGTTTTCAGTTTGTTTGTTTTCAAGCTAGTTTCTTTTGGTTGTTTTGTCTGAATGTGTAGATGATCATCCTGATCTTTATGAATCCTGTCAGTGGAATGCTAACTCTCCTGGATGGAGGATGGGGCTCCTTTTGTGCTCTAACTCATGTCTTTTTGTCTTTCTTTTCCCAATTCCTTTCTCTCTCTCTTCCTCATTCCCTCTCATTCTGTCTCTCTCTCTATATCTGTAGGTGCAGTCACGATGCAGCAGCAAGGAGAACATCCTGAGAGCAAGTGGGTGACCGATTGTGCATTATCGGGATGATTGTGCGTGTGTGCTTAAGAGCGCGTTTAAATCCTCACTCTTTTGTCTCAGGTCACAGTGCAGTGGATATCACCAAGGTAGCTCGGAGACACCGCATGTCCCCGTTTCCCCTCACTTCTATGGACAAGGCCTTCATCACTGTGCTGGAGATGACTCCTGTCCTGGGTAACGAAATCATCAACTACAGAGGTAAGACCCTTGTTTGCTCATACCAACCTAAACTAGACCAATGACCTGTTTGCACTAAGGTAAACCACATGAACAAAAATATTCACAAACTAGGGATGTCAGAGGTACTTGATGATAAATGTTAAATGTAATCAAAGCAGTTTTTATAAAATATTTTTAAAAGCTTGATCTTGGCAAGTTATTGGTGAATGCGAACAGCTGGAACAAAATTAAGATATGTCAAAATATGGGATCTGTGCATTAGGACTTGTAATGTAAATTCAGCCTAATAGACCTGCAGCTGTTATTAATATTAATCAAACAACAATATTAACAAGAGTCTGTTCATGGCTGAATAACTTTAGTAGCTGTAATGAGTCCTCTACAATCAAACATGAACAAAATCAGTATTCATTTATTAAATTTAAAAATCATGCTATGAACACTATTTATGTTTTTCTCTGAGAAAAAGACAGATTGCCTTAAAATGTGTACAGCATCCAGTAAAAATGAATAAGTAGCAGAATTAAAAAATGAAAAACAAAAAAAGAAATCATTGCAATACAGTATTTGATATTCTGAATGGAGGAGTTCACAGAGTTGAATCATGCATGTTTTTAGTATTAAAAATGCAGACTCATTCAGACAACTTGAGAATGGGCCTTAAAGGGATAATTCACCCAAAAATCAGCATTACTGTCATCATTTATTTCACCCTTATGTTGTTACAAATCCATATGACTTTCTTTCTTCCTTCTCGCCGCTCCTTTCCATACCAAAAAAAAAAAAAAAAAGCCATAAAACACCATAAAAATACTCCATATGACTACTTGTGAAGAACATGGTGAAGAATATCCTGATATAGGGACATATAAGACACATGCTATCATGAATAACTCCTTTTGTTCTACACGGAAGGAACGTCATATGGGTTTTGAAAGGATGAGTGAATGATGATTTTTTTTGTGAACTATCTTTTTAACATGAAGTACTGTCCTTCTGATGGTACCAAAATGAGTTTTCATTGGCTGTTGGACTGTGGTATATATAGGCCAGTAAGTGCTGAAGGCATATAGTCACCAAGCTCTTTGCTTTGCAGGCTTTCAGCTTTTGCTTTTTTCATCTTCCATGCCTGTAGCTCCTCATCTGTCACACATCTGTTCATTGTTTCTTTCACCCCATCGTCTTTCCATCTTTCTAGCTTTAATCTTGTCGCTCGTTCCATCTGGCCATCTTCTGTTGTTTTTTTACTCGCTGAGTTCTCTGAAGCTTTGATGTCATTGTGATCATCCGAAGACAGATCCTGTGGTCAGTTTCCACGCGAATCCAACCTTAAAGGCCTTCTTTCTGAATTTCGGGAAAAGCTCTGGAAGATTTTCAGTTACTCATACTGTAGTTGCTCAATCCACATGAACATCAGGAGCAGTCCAGTACCACGGGCTAAATTACATCCCATAGTTTTTTATTTACTTTATAGTCGGCACTCTGACACAGCCCATGCTATTCTTTTTGATGGCTCTTCTTTGGTTTTTCATGGCCATGACTAACACAGGGCAGCCACCCGTGCATGTGGATGTGAATTGTGCCACCAAGACGCAGGCTGTGAGCTGGGCGTTAATTTCGGTCCATGTGGTGAGGGATAGCGGGATTGCCCATGTTGTAGTTAAATGTGCCCATATGTAGTAGTTAAATGTGCCCAATGCATCTAGCAGGGCCCAATCCAGGTGACTTGGCCCCCCCAGCACGAAAAGGCATCTGGCGCCAGAGTGGCTCAAGTTGGCGGAAAATTCCTCTCTGCACTGGCGCCGAAGCAAAGGCAGAGAGGAGAGCCCTGGTCAGTGCCGCCCACACCCCAAAATATTACACAGGTCAGTGTGCACCATTGCCCAGCACCTTCATGTCCGGCGCACATATTCGAGCATGCCCGATGCTCATCCGGCCCCAGTAATGTGTGGAATACTCATCCATGCCACAGCGCCATTTCACCTCCAGACCAGCAGGATTGAGAGTTGTTTGCAACCATTGACAAGAGGGTGGAAAAAGAACCTCACGTTAAGGACTGATATAAGTATGGCTGAATCACAGTTTGCATACTTGTATGCAAAGTCAAGTACGAAAAGTTGAAAAAATTTAGCCGTCGATTGTAGGCGGGTACAAAATTGTGACGAAAATTGCATCTTGATATTGCATCAGTGAACCATCGCTAACAAATCCACTTGCATTGCATTCATTGATCCATCCAATTAGATATAGTATGCCATTCGAGTATCTTTTGACATATACATATATATATATTTACGCGACAAACTATTACGGATAGTATGTCGAATTGGGATTCAGCTTATAAGAGACAAGTGATTCACTGGAATCTTTTGTTTTCCTTGAGCTTGTTCCACTGATTTGAACATGTCATGGTTGTCATTAATAGTCAAAGAACAGAATCATGTTCCATGTTTGGTTGTATCCATTTGGTTTATCTATGGAGAATGGCCTAGTTTGGAAGAGCTTTGTTGTCATTTTGCGTTCCAGATCATTTGCCCGTGACTGCTGCTATGGAAGCCAGTGAACTCATCAATCGTGATGCGTGACGCAATGGTTAGAGATGTCAGTGAACTAGCGTACAAAAACCAACAAAAACTCCCAACTTAAAGCAAACATTCAATACGCAAGCTTTTCCGACATCACCTCTTTTCACAAAACCCACCAGCACCTCAAACATTGTGCCTTTAATCTATCAGTAACCATGTGTAGCATGTGAAACCACTGTTTCCTGACAGATAAAAATGATGGATTTTCAGCTCAGTGCGAGCACAAAAAGGGCAGGTCCAGATCAGCGTAAATAGAGGAAATATCCTCACCCAGCCAAGTAATGTCACTCATAAATTTTCGAAATGCGTTTTTCATACAACAAGCTGGGTGTAAGTTATGAGCGGCTGTCTGTTTTAAAACCTCTCTCTGTCACCTCGGTTAATAAAATAAATTTAAAATGTATAAATGATCTCAGCCTTGGAGAAGATTGGCCATTTAGAGTATGCTGAGGTGGAACTGTCTGTTCTGCTGGATGTTGATGTACAAGTAAGAATTTCCAATGCACCAATATAAATTACCAATAACCAATACTGTAGGTTTGCAGATAATGCTGTTTAAATTAATTACCATTCAAAAGTTTTTGATAGAAGTCTCTTATGCTCATCGAGGCTAAATTTATTTGATCAAAAATACAGTAAAATCTGCAATACTGTAAAATATTATTGTAATGTAAAATTTCTATTGTAAAATAATTTAAAATGATTTATTCTTACGATGGTAACATGAATTTCTAGCAGCCATTACTCCAGTCTTCAGATCCTTCAGTAATCATTCTAATATTCTGATTTAGTGATCAAGAATAATTTCTTATTAATATCAACATGAAAACATTTGTGCTGCTTAATATTTTTGTAAAAACTGTGGTATATATTTTTTCAGGATTCTTTGATGAATAGGTAGCATATAATTGGCAGATATGATGGCCAATTTCAAAACAGTTCTGTCCCTGTAAAAAAGATTTATAAACAATATTTAAAAAATTGTAAATCATTTTAAAATATTTTTTTGTAGTGTGGTTAAAATCTGGAAACATTTACATTTTTTTCCCTAAAAACTTATCCAATTCTAATATTATTTTTTCACATTCTTATTTTTTTGAGTTCTTTTTATAATACATATAATACATTTTATAATAATACGTTTTTTCCCCAATATGTTTGTTTATTTTACCTTTCATTTTTATAAGTTTAAAATGAATCGAGTGCTAGGTAACGTAAAGATTACATCACCTTTAAAATTAGTTTTAGGGGTCCTGTTTTAGCGATCATTTCAGACGACAACATTTGGTATGGACTTCAGTCTTACATGTGGTCTCTTTACGGGCCTGTGCTCGGCTGTGTTGAGTAGATCTGGGCGTGTTGTATTGTAGCTGCAGGGAATCGTTGCAGTTTCACGGTGACTGGGTTGTCAGCGCTCTGTGATGCATGCTTGTGTACTCATCTCTGTGTGTAGATAACACCGTACCCATCTGTTTGATCTCCCAATCCAGACACATGCTATATTTAGAGCCTCGTCAGATGTGCTGTTTTAGAGAAATAAGTCTTTTCTAATCAGCCTCCAACCAGGGAGAGGCCTCATTAGCATCAGCTCGTTCTCTCTCTCTCTCATTCGCATGCTTTATCTCTACAAGAGCGCCTTTGCACTCTCTCGTTCTTTTCTTTTTCTGTCTCTCTTTATTCTCTCTCTCTCTCTCGCTTTCCTTCTGGCTCTCCCTGATTCTTTATTCCTTTCCCTATTTCTCTCTCTGTCTGTCATCTCTCTTTTCTCTTCTTCTTTTCATGTGTGGGAGGGCGCTTGTTGCTCCCCCAAGAGTTCTCTGGCTTTGTGTGCGAGTGTAAGTGTCTGTTCATGTTACACTGTGTGTTTGGTGCTCAGAGGAAATGGCACATCTGTGTTTCAGGGCACACTCTTATCCACCTTTCCTACCCCTTTATTTAGACTATATGCAAATTCCTACGCTTTCATATGAATGTATGAAATGAAATGTTCAAAATTCGACCACTGACGTATGCTCTTTATAAATAATATAAATACATTCCTGGACATACTGCATTGTTCAAAACGGATTGGATCTTCTAGATAATGAAAATAACTTTTGATAAACAAAACAGATAATCAAAGATATTCCTTTAGATCAAAATTATAAGATCTTTTTTATGGGTTGTCTTTTTGTAGCAGGGCTAGCTACATAGCACAAAGCAACTAATTTTGTAGTAACTTGTGCCAATGTGTAGTAACTTGCATGTATACAAGGTTAGCAGGTTTGTCAGTTAGCAGTATGCTAAGCTAGCCAGCTAAATGACTACTGTATGCAAAGTTAGGAGCTTCAAATGAGTTTTCTGCAAAGCCTCTAGTTGTAAAAACCACTAAGATTTAAATTCCAAAAGAAAATAGGATAATGTTTGACAAGTGAGAATGTTGTTTTGTGTTTTTTATGTTTTGTTTTGTGTTTCAAAATGACAGGTTTTTAAACTATGGTTACTATATTTAGAGCCTCGTCAGATGTGCTGTTTTAGAGAAATAAGTCTTTTCTAATCAGCCTCCAACCAGGGAGAGGCCTCATTAGCATCAGCTCGTTCTCTCTCTCTCTCATTCGCATGCTTTATCTCTACAAGAGCGCCTTTGCACTCTCTCGTTCTTTTCTTTTTCTGTCTCTCTTTATTCTCTCTCTCTCTCTCGCTTTCCTTCTGGCTCTCCCTGATTCTTTATTCCTTTCCCTATTTCTCTCTCTGTCTGTCATCTCTCTTTTCTCTTCTTCTTTTCATGTGTGGGAGGGCGCTTGTTGCTCCCCCAAGAGTTCTCTGGCTTTGTGTGCGAGTGTAAGTGTCTGTTCATGTTACACTGTGTGTTTGGTGCTCAGAGGAAATGGCACATCTGTGTTTCAGGGCACACTCTTATCCACCTTTCCTACCCCTTTATTTAGACTATATGCAAATTCCTACGCTTTCATATGAATGTATGAAATGAAATGTTCAAAATTCGACCACTGACGTATGCTCTTTATAAATAATATAAATACATTCCTGGACATACTGCATTGTTCAAAACGGATTGGATCTTCTAGATAATGAAAATAACTTTTGATAAACAAAACAGATAATCAAAGATATTCCTTTAGATCAAAATTATAAGATCTTTTTTATGGGTTGTCTTTTTGTAGCAGGGCTAGCTACATAGCACAAAGCAACTAATTTTGTAGTAACTTGTGCCAATGTGTAGTAACTTGCATGTATACAAGGTTAGCAGGTTTGTCAGTTAGCAGTATGCTAAGCTAGCCAGCTAAATGACTACTGTATGCAAAGTTAGGAGCTTCAAATGAGTTTTCTGCAAAGCCTCTAGTTGTAAAAACCACTAAGATTTAAATTCCAAAAGAAAATAGGATAATCTTTGACAAGTGAGAATGTTGTTTTGTGTTTTTTATGTTTTGTTTTGTGTTTCAAAATGACAGGTTTTTAAACTATGGTTACTTTTAAGCGTCGTGTTAGCGAATGCTTTTGTGTTGTTGTATTGTGTTATTTTAGCAAAATCGCCTGCCGAAATCTATTGCCGATATAGATATTCATACTGTCACGTTACGCTGTTGAGGGAACACGCTGGAGGCACAAGTAAATGAGAAAAGTCTTTAATCAAGGAAACACAGAGGATAATCCACAATAGGAGCTTGAGCCAACACACGTAGACAACAAGTAGACCTGACAAACACAAACTGAACAGACTAGGACTTTTATACAGGGGATGATTGGGGAACACAGGTGACATCAATGGAACATAATCAAACTAAACGAGGACAGGAACATGACCAAATAAGGCAAAACAGGAACTGAAACACATGACAAAACAGGTCCAATCCTGACATTTCGCCCCCTCCTGGAAGGTGCGTCCTTGCACCGTAGGCAACAACAGAGGGAGGCATAGGTGGGAGCTAGGGAGGAGGCTCAGGAGGAGGATGGACACCCGGGAGGGGGCCGGCAGACAGAGACCAGGGAGGCGACGAAGGAGGGAGGAGCCAGGGAGGAGACAGGAGGGGCTTGGAGCAGGAG